CACTGTATGTATATATATATATATATATATATATTTATATAGATAGATAGATAGATATAGTGTTTTAATATATTTTTTAATATATTAATATTTTTTTGTGCAAACCATTCAATTGTTTGGGGTACGTAAGATTAAAAAATAAATGTATAATACAACAATTTCTACTTCAAATAAATGCTGTTCTTTTGAAATTTTCCATTCAAAGAATCCTGAAAAGAGGTCCACATAAATATTAAGCAGCAAAGACATTTCTCAACATTGATAATAATAATAAGAACCATTATTAAAAATTGATTACTAAATCCGTATATTACAATGATTTAAAATGAAGACTGGAGGATTGGCTGCTGAATAAATAACCATTTAAAATATATCAAAATAGATAATAGTTATTTTAAATTGTAACAATAAATAGCAATATAACAAATATATTTTTATATTTAAAAAAACAACCCTTTTTTGTAATAAAATAAGCACTTTTCACGGTACTCAAAGAAGCTTTACAAGAAATAAAAACAGTAAAAGAAGTATAACAAAAGCAATCGAATAAATTAATCACACCAAAGTATTTTTACGCCATTCATTTATTTTGTAATGTGACATTATTTGCTTGACAGTTAAGCATATTATTACCATTTTTCTTACGTTCAGTGATGTGGAGGCACTTGCTGCACTTCTGAAGCGCTTCTTGGGTCTTGAAGAGTTACAGCGACATTTGGCAGAAGAAGATTATCCTGATGATGACGACATTGAAGATCTGGGATTGGGCGATAGCAGTGATTCAAAAGATGAAGATGAACATTAAAAAACCTCAGGGATAGATGGAAAATGGTGGAAGACACTAGGCCTGTCACGATAACAACTTTTTGTTGTGCGATATCAAAAAAAGAAAACTGCACAAAGAACGTGTATGGAGATTTTTCCATCTACAGATTTTTCCCTAACCTTCTTTTCTCTGTAAATTAAGGGTGCACACTTTTGCTGAAAAACACAATCACTACTCAGCAGTCAGATATCCGTATGCACAAAGGCACAGATCCCTAAACAAGGCCATATCTTCAGATGAAATTTTGTTTGT